GGATGTCATACAATTAATAAGGTGACAAACAGTAAGAATATCACTCTAAAAATATCGGAGAATATTCATCTGAAATAACAGAGCACGGGTGACTTTCAATAAATGACGGTTCTTGCGTTCAACAACACCGTTCTGTGGAGATGTGTAAGCACAAAAAGTTTGATGAATAATATCAGTTTTACTTAGATAAGCTGAAAAATGATCAGATTCATATTATCAAGCATTATCAGAACGTAAAATACTTATACGACAACCATACTGAGTTTTTATTTCCTTACGAAAGGTCTCAAATATAGAGAATAATTTAGACTGAGGTTTCATAAAAAACAATCAAGTCACACGAGAATAGTCATTTACAAAAAACATAAAATAAGGATATTTATGAGATGAAATATTTTTTATTAGACCCCACACATTAGAATGCACCAATTCTAATGGACTAGATATACGATTTTGACTCTAGACTGAAATGACACACAGTGATGCTTACTAAGTTGACAAGTTTCATAAGACAGATGACACACAACTAAGACTGGGAATTTGACGTTTCAGATTTTAGAGAGAGTGATGTTCAAGATGAAAATGTCATTGAAAAGGAGACAACAATGTCTGTAGAGCTCGAGTAGTGGAATCAAAATCAAAGTAATATAGGCCATTGACTTCATGTCTTGTACCAATCTTTCTCTTTGTCTTGAGATCTTGAAAGACACAATAAGAGGATAAAAGGTTATAGAACAATCGAAAGAACGGGTAATCTTACTAATGGAAAGTAAACTGAGAAAAAATAACACGGATGATAGGGACATATTAGGATTCAAGTGAGTAGTTCTCAGACCTGAAACTTTAGAACAAGTACCATTAACAAGAGTAATATTACGTGTGGAAGTAGTAGACTGATAAGTAGAAAAAATATCAGACGCACCAGTCATGTGGTCAAAAACGTCAGAGTCTATGATCCAGGGACTGCAGGTGGAGGATAATAAACAAGTGGAAGCAATACCTGATTGGGCAAAAGTAGCAGTGGAGGGAGATGGAACAGACTGTTGCTGGGACAGGAACTGGGTATACTCCTCTCAAACTAGTGTAATAGTAACTGACCCAGTGTATGGTGGAACTGACCGAGGTATAGAAGCAACAACCGAGGTGTCATCCGAATAAGAAGCCTGATTAGCAGCACCAGAAGATTTTTCATGGAAATCCCAATAGAAGTCAACAGTGTGTCCTCTACGACCATAGTGAGTACAAGAACGGGATTCACTACAACCCCCACGACCACCTGTACGACCTCCTTGACCACTACGACCACCGTGATGACCATCACTGTGGCCACTAGGAACCACAAGAACTGAGCGATCAGTGGAGATACCATGATCAATGCTTGAAGGGGTAGACAGTGTAGCATGCTGTAAACGAGAGAAATCCTCGAGCAGTGATGGAAGACTAGAACTACCCAAAATCTGAGAACGAATAGCCTCATATTTAGGTTTCAATCCTACCAAAAACCTAACAACATTTAGGTCCTCATGTTGCTTCTGCTAAACTGCTACACCAGTAGTAAACGGATGGTAGGTCTTTATCTCTTCACAGACTCTCCGAATATGAGAGTAATAATCCGCAAGGCTTAGAGTACCCTACTCTAACCGGAAGTACTCCTTGCACACCTCATACGCACGGGATAAAATTACCTGTACCAGAATACATAGTGGCCAAGTGATTCCATATCTCCTTGGCAGTGTCAAGGTAGAGTAGAGTAGAACTAATACTAGACTCAATGCTATTCAATAGTAAAAACATAATTTGAGCGTCATCTTGTTCCCACTAATCATACCCAAGAGTATCTTCCTTGGGCTTAGGATCCACCAAATATTTCTTAAATCCTTTGCCTCGAAGAAATACTTGAGCGGATCGGGACTATAAAGTATAATTGATTCCATTGAGTTTAACAGAGGTAATAGGACCATTGATAAGAATAGGGGTGACAAAGACGAAGTAAGAGACCTGGTATCTTGTTTGGGTTCCATTACAGTGCAGCAAATATGAAACAAGAAGCGCTGCAATACTGAACCAGAGAAAAGAAGGCTGCTAGAAGGCTAAATCGGATTGGCTGGGCTTGCTAGACCACTGAACCGAGAAGAATAGGCTGGCTGGTTTGCTGAATCGGACTAGAGATCCCACTTAGGACTGAACTGGACTACAGAGACCCACTGGAGCACTGAATTGGACCAGAGAGACATGCTAGAACACCGAACCGGACCAAAGAAGCCTAGTAGACCGTTGAACCGGACCAGATAAGCCCACTGGACCGCTGAACCAGACCAAATAAGCTGGTTTGAACTGGTCTAAAACTGATTGAACTAGACTTGGACCAGTCTGGTTTGGATCTTGGATCAAGGTCTGGATTTGGACTTGGATCTTTTACCCAAACCCGTAAACTGACCCACTTGAACAGGGTCTTCTCCTTCACTGGTTAGGGTTTCTACCAAACCCTATTCCTTCACTGTGGAACACCACCACAACAGATTACGAGGCAAAAATCAAACTCCACCAAGGTCGACTACACCACCACGAAGATAAACGTCACCAACGACGCCACCAGTCGACTGCACCACAATGAAGCAGAAAACCAAACTAAGTCGACACCACCAACGTCAACTATACCAATGACAACAACACCACATTGACAGTAACAAACCAGAATTAATATTTGTATTGAAAAATAACCTTGCTCTAATACCATGTTAGGTTGAGAGAATTAACATAACACAATATTAGAGAGAGAGGGGTTCAAAACTTAACTTAGCTCTCATACATCACTTGTATTTATAGGTAACTCATAATCATAAGAATTACACATACACACCCTCTTGTATTTACACATAATACCCTAACACTATTAATAATTTACATATACTACCCTAATACTCTTAACAATAACAAACTGGTATCAGAGCTTTGGTGTCGAGATGGCTACATAACAATTCAATTTATAAAACTTGTGTTCTGAATAGTTTGATCTAGATGCATATCGTTGCGTTGATGGAATATTTGACAAAAGTTCTTGATGAGATATTATGATCACCTCCGATAGAGATTCAATATATTTATTATTCTTGAGAAGGCAACAAGTTATATTCACTTTGTTTTAATGACTTGGTGGGTACACATGTGGATATTTGTTATGGATGTTTGTGTTATCCCTTTATGAGATTTGTAGAGAAGACAGCTAGTTCGTGCACTTTTGTTTTGTTGGCTTAATGGAATATAAGCCAAGGTGGAGATTTGTTGTGGATGTCTTGTAATCCACTCCTAGTAGGAAATTGGTTTGAAATTTGTTTTTCTTAGGAATTTGAAAAAGTGGACGGCTTACAACTCCACTTTAACTAAAAGACCAATTACAAACATTATTGTATTAGGAGAAAGTATTTTGAGTCTATAAATAGATTATAGACCAATCATTTTCTTTTGGGAATTTTGGTCCCCCTCAGTTTTGGGCATCCATGTTGGGTTATATTCTCTGGGCTAGAGAATTTTGTCAAATCTTCCTTTTGTTGCTACATTTCGCTTGTAGAGTAGGCTTTTGAATCGATCTACATATATTTGTGTGTATACATAGCGACAAAGTTTCACTATCAATAAAAGGGAGATTACACAAAATTCTCTAACATAGAGAATATAATCTATTTATAGACCTAAAATACTTTGCCTCCTAATACAACAGGGTTTGTAATTGGTCTTTTACTTGAAGTGAAGTTTTAAGACACCCACTTTTTCAAATCCCTAACGAGAACAAATTTAAACCTTTTTACTAGGAGTAGAAAACAAGACATCCACAGCAAATCTTCACCTTACTTTGTATTCCATCACGCCATCAGAACAGAAGTGAATAAACTAGCTGCCTTTCTCCACAAATCCCATAAAAGGATAACACATGCATCCATAACAGTTTTGTTAATCACATGTTAGCATATCTTGTTTCGATCACATCTTTATACTCATAGACATAGTGTAAGGAGCATCAGAGACATTGCCATAAGAGGGTCAAAACACATTTTCAATAGTATTCAATACATTTCTATCACTGGATTGTGCTCGACATGAGCGCAACAATTTTTAGTAGCGTTCATGTTTCTTAGGTCTGACTGTTTGGATGTAAGCCCTTTAAGAGGACACTATTTGTAAAAAATATAGAAGATTAATGTTGTTTTCATGGTCAATGATTTTTTACAGCATTTTCACCTTGCCTAGAATGTTGGTGTGAAGGATGAGGCATAGGTTATTTTTGGGTTTGGTTTATTGCCATGGTTGTGCAGCTATTGGAGGTAGTAGAAGTCATTTTATTGATACCAATGGTTGTGACCACATCAGATCTGTTAGGGATCCAGGACAAAAAGTGAAACTCACTCTTCCTCTTACTTGCAATATTCGAACATTATTTACATGCTTTCTTTATTTTTGCTCCCAAAAGGAATATAAGTTATTTTACAGCATATTATGTTGTGCCACTTTGTATAGTTTCATGGAATATGTAACTGGAAATGAATATATGCCTCTTTGTAAATTTTATTGATATCTTAAAGGACACATGAAAAAAGTTGTATTGCAACTTTGGTTTGAGAAGTGGGAATAACATAGTAGACATATAAAAGAAGGAACATGGGACATGAATTCCAGTCACTTTCATGAGGGCGAATCTTTTTAAGCATGTTTTGTGGGAGTTTTTCTTCTTTAATTTTAAAGTTAATTTCCAACAATTGCCATCACTCGCTTTTTTCTCGAGTCTCTTCTTGCATTCACCTTCTCTTTAAAAAAGTTGAGCATCAAAATAAATCTTTCTGAATTGTTTCTTGTAGTAGTAGTTTGTAAGTAAACTACCTTCATTTGTACGGTATTATTTTTCTCCAGCTCTGTTAACACCTATGTAGTGCATGTAAATGTGTGGATATGTACTAATGCGCATACACACACACAGCCACCCACTTGCACTTGCATCTTGCACGCACATGCACAAGCTGTTTGCACCCAGACAGTCCCTTCGGTACTTTAAAGTGGCGTAAGGGGGAATAAAACACCTGCAAAAGCAACCTTTCTTTTTCTATTAGCCTTCTTGTTGAATCATTTTTACGGGTGGGAAATATGCATTGGACGATATTGCACAGAGTTCATCATAATTTATGCTCTTCCACGTCAACTGTGATTGTGATGCTATCATGAAAGGATTCATTTTATATTAGCTTTGGTAGGGTTGAGAGCTGAGAAACAATGATGCTGATGTTATGTGGTCCATCTCAGGCCAACAGAAGTAGAGCATTCTATTCTTGAAGACCTACGGAACCGTGTACAGTTGAGTAGTATCGCGCTGCCTTCAGTCAGCTTCTATACGTTTATTAACACGCATAATGGGTATGCCACTTGATTGAGAAAGTTGTCTTCTCTGACTTATTTTTTTCCGACTTCTGTCTGTGCACAACCGTTGATCTTTGTGTCAACTGTGTTGCAGTTTGAACTGTTCATCAATATCTGCAGATGGATCCATGGTTGCTGGTGGATTTTCTGACTCATCACTGAAGGTTTCATTGTTTCTCCTTACAGTTTGCTTAATCAATAGCTACTTGATTTTGGTGTTTGCAATGTACTAACTGTGTTCTGCAGGACTGGGACATGGCAAAGCTTGGTCAACAAACTGGCAGTTGTAAGTCTCTCACCCTAGTTTCCTCTTTCAATTTGATAATGCATTTGTGTGTTATGCTTGGGAACATTTTGCTATATCTGTTGCTCAGTCTCTTTTGAAACATCATGGTGCGTTAAATCATTTGTGTGGTGAAGAAATTATATTGGAGAATAATAGTATCATCTCAATTTAAAAGCCAAAGTTATGTAAGGGGCAATGCTCTTGATGTGGTAGGGGGGGAGATTTTTTCATTTGATACAATATAATGTTCGGGCTATTCTTGTGCTGTATAATGTGTCAGGTGGAAAATCTCAGACAACTATTTTCCACACTGATCACTCCATGAATTACTACTACCTAAATCTCTTTTTCTAGGTGACCCTTGCAATTCAGTCTATAGTATGCCAAATTTTTTGCTGAAATTCTTATTCTTGTGTTGTATAACAACTGTTAGTTGGAAAATATCTTTAGTATCCAATAAATTCTGGACATATGTCTACAATGTGGAAGGACAAATGACATGTGAGTGGGGCTCAACAGGGTTCCACAGAATTGGTACAGGCAATAGAATCGTGACAGGGTGTTGCTGCGACAACACCCAGTGTCACGGTACGTACCTTGTGCCACGGCAGGCACCGGGAAGCATCAAGCATTATTGAAGGGTGGGACACATCCACATCACATGGGAAGTGGCAAAATGGATCCTTGACCAAGAACGGATAAGAGTGGCAGCTGGGAAGTATGGGCGCAACCTCTGCTTGATTCGCCTCCCCCACTGCGGAAATAAGAGACAAAGCTGGGATCTCACAATGGATAGAATTTGTATCCTCAACTTTTCCTCAGTGGATACCCTCAGATTGGGACCTCTATAGAGAACTTGGAACCCATTGGATTTTCGTTATGGTAAAGTCAATCATTGGAATGTCGTTGCTCAACTGGCTCAGTAGACTAAGAGGAGAGGTTCTCACCGAGGGACCGGGTAGTATGACTTTCCTCAAGGGAGAACTGAGCAACGAGGCAAACGAGTATGATTGTCAACCTTAGCCTCGAGCAGAGTTTCGAAGGTTTAGTTTGTTTGAGCAAGGATGTGCTTGACTGGGATTCAGAAGGAGTTCTATGGTAACTGGAGTCATTGGTCCGAATCAACATTTGAGATAATGAGACATGTAAATTGGTGGCTGAAGTATTGAAATTATGTGGGTCTTCTTTATTGGGCACCTCGGCAAAGGCCTTAGGGAAGAGTCTAGAGGGGTAATGGTAGACATGAACCCCCCCCACGGGCGCATTATGACTAATCATGGCTTTAACCTCGGGAGTCTCCTTTTTTACCTTCACTATCGCACTCTTCCTCGAGTGCCTCGTCCAAGATGTGTTCGAAGAAACGTCACATCGGCCTAATTAATGCTGGGATATGTGGCTCGTGATGAGCCACCACCGGTATCGTGGCAGTCGAGATAGTTGCGGTCAGCGCAGTTGTTAGTACAGTTTGTACAAGGGAAATGACAGGCAACCCATGGGGACAACCTGACATGCCTGAGTACTACACTATAAATACCTGCATTACGTGCCTCAGAACACATTTCTATTTGATCTGAGATAGGCATCTTTGTTGGTTAGGGCATTTACCCTCACCACCTACCCAAGAAATCTTTTGCATAGACAGCTCAAGTCCTTCTATCCCATCCACTTGTACTACTCATCCCTTTGAGTACACTTGGCATAGACACATTTGTGAACCTCTTTTAACCCCTCACATACAATTATTTTCTGGACTGACCGCTCTATGAATTACTGTTAACTTACTTTATTTTTAGCAGTAATTCTTGCAAGTTAATCTGTAGTATTCCAAATTCTTGTGTGAAATTCTATATTTAAGCTTGTTCAAATCAAGCCATGTTTTCGTGTGTGGTGATATCTTAGTTCTTTGGTAGTAATGGACAAGGTATGAAGTGTTGGCCTTAATAGATGTGTCGGCTGGTCTTAATAAAAATTATTATTGGCAGACATCATCCAAACTCTCATATTGCTGTGCTCATGAAGTGAGTATTCTCAATATTATGCATTGAAGGGGACTCAAACCTCCATTCTTTAGCATACATTTTGAGTCTTGCATTGCCAAAATTCACCATCAAAGCATCTGCAAAAGTGAACCACAATTTATAAATGTGGCCTATATCTAGATGTGTATATATATATAGAGAGAGAGAGAGAGAGAGAAGTTTATGTATGAGATATACATTCCAGGATGAATTGTTAAAGTATCTCTGTTGATTGGCCTTGTCATATGGGGCTAAGTTAGACATCCAGTTGCTTCATTGGAATCCTTTGCAGAATGTGTTGTATTGTTATTAGATATATCGAAACATTGGATAAGCAAAACTATTTCCCAATCCAATAAAGACCTGAAGCGGTGAATAAGGTCCTAAATAGTGAGATTTATCAACGTCAGCAACCGAAGTTTTGGATAATTGTGAAACAATGTAGGTGTATTTAACATCCTAAATGGCTTTTAAAGTTTCACACAGCTCTCCAAGTGCAATTCATCTCTTCACTTCAAAGGTTGTTAGTCTCTCATAATAATATCAGCATTATGACTCCCAATCCAATTATTCTGACCTAAAATGACCCAAAAAATAGTGCCTGTGTCTAGCACTGTTGAAAGACCAACATACCCATGATGATAAAGCCTAAAAATATGTAAATTGAATAATCCCAGCAGCTTTTTGGCCTAAATTTGATATCAAATCAGATTTTAATTTAATCCAAAGTTTATTACACATGCTCCAAAAGTTTTGCATACGTGTACTTTTGGAATTTCCTTCTTTCTTATCTATATTCTGTGCAGCATCTTGTTCAACTCCATGTCCTGCAAGGCTGCAACATTAGCCTTTTGGAACCTTGAATATATGGTAGACAATATTTTTTCTCAAATTCACGAATATATCGTGGCAAAAAGTTGTGCCATGAATCATGATTTTTTCTACTGTACACATATAGACATGTTTTTCTTTATTATGCTGTGTCCTTGATGCGACCTTGTCCTATTTTTTTTTATAGAAATCTTTTACTGACTTATTTACTTGCTCTTGGATTTGTATCTTGTATCCGTGTGCATAGTTTATATGTCACCAGGTATGTTCCAAGATTCTATGACTTGACAACACTGGAGTTCTAGTCAATTTCCAGAAATTACGAAAAATCTATTGTTAAGAATCACTTGCCTCACTTTCTTCTTATTTTTGTGTTAAAATGATTGTCCTATAAAATTATAAGATTGCAATTTATAAGTTGGAATAGGTTAGAAACACGACGGGCATCTTATTACCATGATTATTGCCCCACTTGTAATGTAATTAATCTTTAACTTCAAGTGTATATGCTAGGGTTTAATCATGTTCATTTCATGTTATAATTCGTTATAATACTTCTTGTTTTTTTGTATTCAGATGAAACTTTATCCCGTTCATTTTTTCATGCTTTCATTGATTCTTTCTTTGCAGAAACAACCTCTTCACATGCGGAGGTAAGGTTGCGTACATTAGGCCCTCCCTAGACCCCGTAGTGGCGGGAACCTCATGCACTGAGCCACATTAATTATTTCTTTCTTTTTGGCTAAATATGTCATACTATTCAATTTCACACAGTTAAAACTGCAATTAGGTGGTTAACTTTTGCACGGTTATTGGTGGAAAAATTTCTTCTACTTTCTTCAATCTCTGGAAAAAAAAAAAATTGTGCAGGTTTACCAGTATAATTTCAGTGTCTTGTTTTCCATGGTTATTTTAACGTTTGATTAAATTTGTTGTCATTGTACTCTATTTCTAAGGACAATTGTAACCTCTTCCCTGCCATGAGCTTTGACTATCTTAAAACTGTACTTTAAGTGAACTACATCCAAGCCTCCATGAAAACACAAATTTGGATCTAGTTAATTAGTCTATTTACCATGTTTGAATGTGCAACTTCAAATTCGATTTGCTTAGTATTTTGAAAATGATTTTTTTACTTTTTAACTTAATCTATACATTAAATTATGTTTCGGAATATAAAACAAAAAAAATCAAGAGACTTATTAAATGTAAAATATCAGCAGAACCTCGGACAAATGTTCTTTTAAACATTATCATTATGCTCTAGATAATATTAAAAAAAAAAAAAAAGAGGCTCGTGCCTCTTTTCTTGCACCTTATTTTTTATTTTCTTTTATGGTGAAAATTGTTGTTTATTTGTCTTTTCTAAATATAATATAAGAGAAGTCTGTATCTTGCCTTTTTTAAAGGGAAATTCTGGTAATTACCTGGGGAAGAAAATAGAGTGAAAATAGTATTAAACAATATTATGCCAGCTATTTTGCAGGGTGAGGATTCGGCTTCAGGTGAACATAAGCTTGGACCACATGATGGGAGAAGATCTTGTACATTATTTCAAGGTCATTCTGGACCTGTTTACTCGGCCACTTTTAGTCCATTCGGGGATTTTCTTCTGTCCTCTTCATCAGATTCAACAAGTATGTTATCCTCAGCTGTCATGTAGCTTCTTGTTTTGTTTGTCATCTTTAGTCAAAGAGTTGCTAGTTGAGGTTCAGTTTCGTGCTTTAACATAAACTGATATCAGTTCTGAAACTGCTGTATAACTTGAACTATGTTACGATGCTGCAGTTCGATTGTGGAGCACTAAATTAAATGCCAATCTTGTCTGCTACAAGGGTCATAATTACCCTGTATGGGATGTTAAGGTATAATATTTGCTCTCTGTTTTTTCTTGGTCATGTAAAATGTGCCTTGGAAACTTGAAAATGTGCAAGAAACTTTCCTGTTTGCAAAGTTGCCATCACTATTATCATGTTTTACTCATCAAAAGCAAGAAATGCAAACCAACATTATCTTGCTTTATATATGAAAAACTTAAAGAGAAACCTGTGTAACAAGATTGTTTCTAACCTTTTTCTCCATGTTGCTGATATTGTTTTTTCATTTTCCGTTTTGTGGATGACATCTGTTGTCTTTCTCACAATTAATTGATGCATTTCTTGCTCATACTTATTTATTAGCCATCTTATATTTGGTTCAAAAGACTGAAGTTTCTTCTCAGTTTTATTCTTTGTTGATGCTGGAGAAGCTCGATTTGAACCAGAGCTTTCTGAAATTAGTCGCTGAACTCATATTTGGTACTTTAATTAAGTAGAGATTATATTGATAGAAGGACGTCACAAGGATCTGCATAAACTGGACCCTTAGGTGCATTCCGCTTCTGTGGACGGGAGAGGGCCTGGCCAAGGTGGTTTTCTACCACGCGTGTGCTCAGCCATGCACCCTGACCTGGCGTGGCTTTGCTCATTCTTGGGTTACATATACATAAGCTCTGCATAAACTGGGTTAACCAGACAAAGTGTCTTTCTTTTATATTACACATACGCTGGAAATGGATAATGTGGCATTCATAACACATTATATCACTGATTTGTTGTACATTCTGAAGTGCTTAGGCAACTTGTTTAAGACATTTCTTATGGTTACCTCGAGATTCTTTGGACTATTACTTGTTCTGATGTCCACAATAATTTTTGGGGGACTTAAACATACTTGGTCTTTTGCGAGGAATTTTATGTGTGGAATACATTTAGTATTTTTGCCTTTTCTTTTCCCCTCTTCATTACCTGTCCCGCGTATGTTGGTGCACATGTACCCATGCATGCTAAGTTGAAGCATGAAAATACACATTCCACATATCAGCTAATCTCATGTCCTTTTTGTTTTTTCTCCTGATTGCAGTTTAGTCCAGTAGGACATTATTTTGCCAGCTCATCACATGACCGAACGGCAAGGATTTGGTCTATGGACAGAATACAGCCTTTAAGAATAATGGCAGGGCACTTGTCTGACGTTGACGTGAGTGTGTTCTTGTGTTTCATCTCTCTCTCTCTCTCTCTCCCTCTCAGATATATGCATGTATTTATATATACATATATTTATTGTACATATCTGCCTATATAGATGTTGAAATATAAGTTTTTGTTGGATGCTATGTCAAATCTTGGATGAGTAAGTTACTGCTCCCAGCACTTCTTGACTTGGTCATTAAATTTCTGGGCTTCCCTGAATCCTTAAATATTGGACTGGGTTATGCATATGACTCGTATTTAGAGTATTTGTTTTGTGCTTATGTGATTTGAATTAGGGAGGAAAGGATAATTAACAGTAAGAAGAAAATAATTGAATAACAAAAATTAGCACTTCAAGTTGTCCCCAAAAAAGAGACCGAGAGAGAGAAATGCAAATTAATTGGATGGATATCACGTAAAGTTCATCTGCACCTACAATTTGATCCTTTTATATTCCCTTTGAAAAATTTCAGTGGTGCAACTGAGGTTTATTTTGTAGGGTGGTGCCCTATATTGGGTAGATTTTTTGTACAAGTTCTTTGTTTTACTTGTTACTTCTTTACAGATGTTTAAGGCCTAAGCAAATGGACATCAGGCGATCATCACCGTCTTCGTTGATATCATATATGAAAGGGGAAACATCCTTCCATCCATTAGTCTGATTGATCTTTTTTGTGATTTGATAGCTTCTCACCAGTTTGGATTAGTGTGAACTTCCTTCCAACCTTGAGTAGTAGAGATATAACACAAGCAAGAAACAAAGGTACGAGGGATGATGGAGACAATGAATCATTAGAAACAAAGTTAGATATGCGGTGTTGAGTACAACCTCGAACACCTTTCCTAATTGCAATACGAACCCCAAAATCATCAATAGTTGAATTATCAATACCCTGGGTACTGGAAGCTCATTACCTGGTGAATCAGTAGAAGATGCTAGAACTGTAGTAGAAGAATTCAATTGACCCGGAAGAAACATAAGTGGTCCGTACCTTCCGACGTCGAGAGCAAGGCTTTAGAGTACCAGGTGGATCATTGATGCCAACAATATGTTGCTCCCCCTTATTAGTATCCCACTGGAAAAGCAATTAAAGAAAGGGCTCCTAAGACATCATCTGTTACTCAATAGTAGTGTTCTCCCCTTGAAGAGATGGTTGGGGAGGAGAGAAAAAAAAGACTCAAACTCACAAAAGGTGACATCCATGCTAACATACATCTTCTAGTGAATGGTAGCACTTCTACCCCTTTTAAGTGAGAGAATAACTAATAAAAACACACCGCAGAGCTTTAGGATCAAGTTTCCCTCTAGATGCTCTATAGTCATGTACAAAACAGACACACCAAAAAACTTCAAGAAGAAAAGAAGAAACAAAAAGAATTAGTAAAATCCCAGAAAGACACTAAATAGAAGACTTAAACTATAGAACACTAGAAGGTCGATGATTAATAAGATAAGCAGTGGTAAAAACTAGTGTTGTTAAAATTGTACGATTCGCAAGTCGAATCGTACAATTCGACTCGATTCATGGGGTGAGCGATTCGTATCTTATGTATGAGTCGATTTGGGTCTTGAATCGTAAGTGAATCGCACGGATCGTACGAACCGAACCGAATCGATGTATCGTCCGATTCATTCAATTTTTTTTTAAACCCACCACATAGACGTCAAAACGACGTCGTTTTTTCAAGGATACAGGCCCTAATAAATAAATATTCCAGCTTTGTCTCTTTCTCATTTGCCGAAGAATGTTTTCTGTTGAAGCCTTGAAGGAGACCCACCACCCCAAGCTGGCTGAAGCATCATCGGCTCTAAGTCTGAGGTATGTCTTTTCCTTTTCTTCTTCTTCTTTTTCTTCTTACCCGCAGTGAAACAGTAACAGCCTTATAGCAGGCTTTACGTCTTCTTCAAGTTTTGCTCTATTTTTATGTAAGCTGTGATATGTTTTTGTATTGTTGTAGTTTCCTACTTTCTTAATTTCTTTTTTTTTTTTTCGTTGATGTGGGTTGTGGGTGGAGGAATATGAATAAGGGTTTTTGTGTATAAACAATACAAATGTGGGTTCCCACCTTTAAATGATGCTCTGGTTTTCACCTGAAGCATGCTCTGTTTTTTGGTTGCTCTGTTTTTTGCATTGGTCTTTCACTAATAAAGAAAATCAGTAAATCTCAAACAGAAGTGCTTAACTGTTAAAAAATGTCAAACTATTTGAAGTCAACAAGCCAAACGGTAAGACATCTATAGTCAATTTAATATAGATCAAGACAAGTCATCATGTCAAGAGGTGATTTGCCAGGTGGCAAGCATCTGACCTGAATTTGCGTGAATTCTCAAGCTGAGGAATATGAGTCTAGATGGGGTCATGGTCATTATGAATGTGGAGAGGTCCCATGAAACTATTTTTGTTGTTCAGTGGCTATTAATTGGGATGTACAACTCTAGAGTTGCTGGATTTTTGTGAAGTCCTAATCTAATTTATTCTTTACACAGCCCCATGAGATTTACTGATTTTGTGAACTCTAGAGTTGCTGGATTTTTGTCCATGTCCATGGAGTGTTGATTTTTTTTGTGTTTGCGGCTGTCCATGGGGTTTGTATTTTTGGGTGTTTGTGGTTGAAATGGAGTGTTGATTTGTTTGAAATTCTGAAATGAAAAAGTTGCTGGTAGCCTGGTTTGATGAAGGCTTTGGGCCGGAACCTGGAAGCTTGGAACTCCTTCTTCTGTTTTGGGTGTTTTGTGTCGAAAATGAGTTTTGTTCCTTTATTTGCTTCTTGTAATGTTCTGTTATTTGCTTCTTGTAAATTGTAATAACTATATATATGTTCTAAAGTCTTAACTATATGTTCTATTTTTTTTTTCTCTTTTCAGTTGTTACTTCTTGTTGAAGACTTGAAGTTGAAAATGGTAAAGAAGAATATAAAAGCGAAGCAAAAAAAGAATGAATATCCGACATGAGATCATTGTTCTCATGTGGGTGATAATAGAATGCACTTGAAGTGCAATTATTGTACCCTTGAGAAATGGGGGGTGTGAGTAGAATGAAACATCATTTTGCGGGAACTCGTGTTGATGTAGCACCATGTAACCAATGTCCACCGGATGCTATAGAAAAATTCTCCCGAATGTTGGAAGGTGCAAAAGGAAAAAAATGTTTCGTAGAGGATGTTGAAAGGGGGACCCAAACCATGGATGCTTTTGTGCTTAAAGGCAAGGGGGAAAGGTGCTAGAGGAAGACAACAAACATTAAATGAATTGGTGAAGAAAAGAGAACCGGTGGTTCAAGACATATGTCGTTTCTTTTATGGGCATGCACTAGCTTTTAATTTAGTTAAAAGTCTATTGTTTGATAAGATGATGAAATCGGTTGGTGAGTATGGCAAGGGATTAAAACTCCCTAGCTATCATGAGATTAGAGTTACTTGTTTGAAGAGAGAAGTGAAAAATGTTAAAGGTAAGTTTGGATAAATATAGAATGGAACGGAAGAAAGGCGGTTGTACTTTGATGTCGGATGGGTGGACCGATGGGAAACAACGTTCACTCACAAACTTTCTTGTTAATAGCCCTAGTGGAACGGTGTTTCTTAATTCAGTGGATACTTCTGGGGTTATAAAAATGCTAATAAGTTGTTTGAGTTAGTTGACTCAATGGTGGAGGAGATTGAAGAGGAGAATGTGGTTCAAGTGGTGACGGATAGTGCTTCGGCTTATGTAGCCGCCGGTAGGTTGTTGCAGTGTTTTGAAAAGCTCGCCTAGGCGAAGCGAGGCGAAGCGAGCTTATCTCGCCTAGAGGACCCCATGCGAAACGAGAAAAAAGCGAGAAAAAGCGAAGAAAAAGCGAAGAAGCGAACGTTTTATTATAAGAGGCGATTCTGCTTCTTTTTTTTTTTTTTTTCTGATTACAGGTTAGTAGTCTCTTTTATTTTTTAATCACTAATGACTTTTTTTTAAGACTATCGATGGTCTTTTTTTTTTCTAATAAACAATGTTCCAAACAAAACATATTCTTTTTTTTTTCCTTGTGTTGCTGAATTCATTTAGAATATTTGTGGGATGTGGGAGTCAGGCGACTGCATGACAAAATTATGATAAAGAAAGAAAACAGGAGTATCAGGAATGAGGGTAAATAATAGAGTCTTCTACAAAGAAGTGTCTCTGATTTGTCTTGGTTATACTTTTTCCTTTTCTTATATATATACAAATGGTACCAAAAAGTGGTCTATGCTTATACCATGTTTAATTATTTTAATACATGTAAAATGTGTCTCTGTTCTATTTTTTTTATTCAATACATAATTACATATGAAATTGTTTACAATTGATTTTGCTCTTGTCATGATCATTGTGCTTCTGTTTTTTTTTTTTAGCTCATTATGCTTCTATTTTTTTTTATTGATTCTGTTGCTGTTTCAGTTTTGTTGTCCTGTGCTGCTTCTGTTTTTTTTTATCCTCATTTTGTTTTTTTTTTGTTGCTGATTCTGCTGCTGTCCTGATTCTACTTCTTTTGTTGTCCTACCCTGTCAATATAAAAATGTATACAATTGTTAGTATTTGTTTGAATTTAAATGTTTAAGTTATGACTGTTATTAAGATTTGAGATATTATTAGTATTTATTTTAATTTAAATGTTTATGATTTTACTTGCATTTAAATATTTAGTATATATAAAATTATAACTTAGATTGTTTAGAAGTAATTAAACTAAAATATATTTTTTTTTAATTGTTCCCTTTGCTTCGGTAAAGCGTGTTGCTTCGCTTCTCGCCTAGGTGTTAGGAGCCTTGGTCGCTTCGGTTCGCTTTACGCCTTAAATAACACTGGGTTGTTGGAGGAAGTTATTTTGGTCTCCTTGTTCCGCTCATTGCATTGATTTACTGTTGAGGGATATTGGTGGTTTGCCATTTTTTGTGACACCATTTCAAAAGCCAAAGAAGTTACACTTTTCATTTATAGGCATAGTTGGGTGCTTAGTAAATTTAGAGAGTTTTCAAACAACATGGAATTGACACGACCGGCGGTTACAAGATTTGCCATTGCATTTCTCACCCTAAAAAGTTTTGATGATAGAAAGTCTTGTCTTCGATGCATGTTTTCATCGGAAGATTGGGCTAATGGGCCTTTTGCTTCAAAGATTGATGCTAAAAAAGTGGAAAGCATAATTTTGTATGATCAAAAATTTTGAAAAGCAATCAAGTATTGCTTAAAAGCTGTGATTCCACTTGTTAAAGTGTTGAAGTTAGTTGATGGTGATGTTAAACTGGCCATGGGATATGTATATGAAGCAATGGATAGAGCTAAGGAACAAATTGCCCAAAATTTCAAAGGAGAGGACAAAAGATATGAAAAAATTTGGAAAATTATTGATGATAGGTGGAACATGCAACTTCATAGACCACTTCATGCGGCAGGGTACTTTCTTAATCCCAAGTAAGTTCACAAATACACTTCATATTTACATTTACTCATATATAAATTGTGATCCAAATTTTAATCCCAAGTAACTTCTTTTTAGGTTCCAATATGATCCAAATTTTAACGCCGATAAGGAAGTAAAAGTTGGTTTGTATATGACCATTGAAAGAATGTACCCAGATATCAAAACAAGAATCTCTATTGATGAGCAACTAGAGAAGTTCAAGAGGGCTGACGGTTTATTTTCTATGAGCATGACTGTGTTAACAAGAGATAAGAAACAACCCGGTAAGAATTAAAGAACATGATTTTACTTTTACATTATATATAAAACTAACCTATATAGGTATCTTGTTTAAATTTTTTAGTTTAAATCTTTTTTTTTATAGCTTTGTGGTAAGAAAGTTATGGAGATGATTGCAAAGAACTCCAAAGATTAGCTATAAGGGTATTAAGTCTCACGTGTAGTGCCACGGAATGTGAGAGAAATTTGAGTGATTTTGATCATGTACATTCTAAGAAAAGGAATCGCTTGGAGCAACAAAGATTAAATGCTCTCGTTTATGTGAAGTACAACATTGACCTTGAAATGAGACAATTGAAAAGACAAGAAAAGAATGAGACATATGATCCAATTTGCCTATCGGATATGGAATCCGATGATGAGTGGATTATTGAAAGTGAAGATCCATGTCTACCAGAAGACAACTCATGGATGGATGTTCATGAATGTTTTCAACTTGATGAAAGTGCATCTTCTAGCAAAAAGAGAAAAAGAGGTATTCTTTAATCTTTATTGTTTATTATATATTTATATTTATATAATTATATATCGTTTTCCATTTAGTCATTTACCAATTATTATTTGTAGGACCAAGGGATTTAAATGCTATTAAAAAAGGCAAAGCTAAAGTTGTTGAGATAGATGATGGTATTGAAGTGGTTGATGATGAGGAAATGGAAGAGGATGAGGAAACAGAGATGGTTGAAGTAGAAGAAGATGATGATGATGAAGATCTTGACCTTGGAGATAATGATGATTGAAGAAATTGACTAGTGACTACAACTATTTTTTTTATGAGTCTTAGAACTTGACTTTTTGTTGTCATTTAATGCACCTCTCATTTTTTGGGACCATAGTTCTGTAACTTGACTTTTGATACTTGAAATACAATTATAATGAATCAATGATAGATACATATTCTCTTGATATATGCTTTATTTTATATTGTATTTGACTTGCAAATTGCAAATAATATATAAAAATCAATCACGGTGGGATTTGAACCCACATTTTCTATCCATAAAGGCTGGCGTCTTTCCATTTAGACTACGTGATTATGTCAATTGATTATTTTTACAATGTAATAGTACTCAAAATTCAATACATTACCTATTTTAACTATATAGATGTTATTTTTTATATTTGTTTGAATTTTGTGCCGAATCTTACAATTCACGATTCGATACGATTCACGATTCACAAATTTAAGATTCCGATTCACGATACGAATCTCGATTTAACAACTATGGTAAGAACTACATTTTCCCAAAAATGTGGGGGACATTGATGTTAAACATCAGGGAATGAGTAATCCCAAGAAGATGGTGATTTTTTTGCTTAGTAACACCATTTTGTTCTGGGATAGTCACATAAGTAGTTTGATAAAGGATACCATTTTCATTGAGGTAAGAGCAAAATTC